ATTAAAGCAAAAGTTAGAGGAAAAAATCAGAGATGAAGGGGAGAAAAAGAGAATGAAAGAGAGACGGGAGAGATATTTTACGAGAAAGAGGATACGGCAGCTCCTTGAAATCTATCATTCATTCAATCATAATAACGCACATTCTAAACCTAAGGGTCCACTGATAGTCGAAAAAACTCCTTAGGATAATTACAATTTTTGAAATGGAAAGAAATAAGTCCTAATATTATAGATAAGCCAAACATTCTCAAAACATAAATTACTAGTTAAAGAAAAAAATGTCTTACCAGTAACATCATAAACAAACAACAACAACAACAAAACCTTTATCCCACTAAGTGGGGTCGGCTACATGAATCATTTTTCTCTATTGCATCCAATTTAGTGTCATATTTTCATTTAATTCTAATAAATTAAGATCATTTTTTATACAATATGCTCAATTCTGCCTAGGTCTACCCCCGCCTTTCTTAACATAAGTCGAATCTAAAACATCTACTCTTCTAATTGAATCATCAAATGGTCGACGTTTAATGTGACCAAACCATCTAAGACGACTATCTAATTTGTCCGCCACCGGAGCTACACCAACCCTATCACAGATAAAATCCTTCCGCATTTTGTCTCTAAGTGTAAAGCCACTCATCAAGCTAATCATTCTCAAATCAGCAACACTTAACTTAGTTTTATGCTTCACTTTTAAAGGCCAACATTCAGCGCTATAGAGCATTGCAGGTCTCACCATCATCTTATAAAATTTTACTTTCAATCTAAGCGGTATTTTTCTATCACGCAATAGGCCTGAAGCATTCCTCCACTACAACCAACCAACTTGAATTCTATTAAGAACATCCCCATCAATATCACAATCACTTTGAACAATAGACCCGAGATATCTAAAGCGTTAACATCTTTTAATAATTTGATCACCCACAGTTACATTTCTGTCATTAGAGCTATTACTACTAAAATTACATTCGATGTATTCAGTTTTAGTTCTACTCAAACAAAGGCCTTTAGACTCCAAGGTAGACCTCCATAAATCAAGTTTTTACTGAATTTTTTCTCTCGTCTTATCCACGAGAAGGATATCATCAGCAAAAAGCATACACCATAGTACATCCTCCTGTTAAGTGTCCAGCAAGACCATCCATAACTAAAGCAAAAAGATATGGTACATCCTCCTGTGAGTGTCCAGTAAAACCATCCATAACTAAAGCAAAAAGATATGGGCTTAAAGTCAATTACTAATGTAAACCAACTGTAATAGGAAAATATTTGGTCAATCCTCCTGTTCGAACACAAGTAACAGCTCTTGTATACATATCTTTAATGACTTGAATATAAGACTATCCATAACTAAAGCAAAAAGATATGGGCTTAAAGTCTAGCAAGACCATCCATAACTAAAGCAAAAAAATATGGTACATCCTCCAGTGAGTGTCCAGTAAGACCATCCATAACTAAAGCAAAAAGATATGGGCTTAAAGTCGATTACTAATGTAAACCAACTTTAATAGGAAAATATTTGGTCAATCCTCCTTCTGTTCGAACACAAGTAACAGCTCTTGTATACATATCTTTAATGACTTGAATATAAGTCATATCAACACATTTCTTCTCAAGAAGTCTCCAAAGGATATCTTTTGGAACCTTATCGTAAGCTTTTTCTAAATCAATAAAAATCATATGTAAATCCTCTTTATTATCTTTGAACTTCTCCATCAAACCTCTCAATAAATGTATAGCTTCCATGGCAGACCTGCCCAACATAAATCCAAATTTATTATGAGAAATCTTTGTAATACATCTTAACTATGTTCAAATGCCCTCTCCCATAATTTTTAGGTACCCCCATCAAATTCTAAGAAGATGATTCCTAGTATTCTTTATTTTACATCTCTTCATCTTAAAATCTAGAACTACAAATCGACGTTGAATACTTAAATTTTCACTCGGAATGACATTACAATCTTTACATTCTCGGCGATCTCTTATTCTCATAAGAAAATAATTAATTTGTGTTTTACTAGATCCATTCTTACAAGTAATAATATGTCATCTCTTTTCTTGAATAAAGTATTAGCAATAACAAAATCATAGGCTATAGCAAAATCTAATATAGCTCTACATTCTTCACTAATCACTCCAAAACTGTTGCCACCATGAATATTTCTAAAATCTTCTACCAATCTACTAAGATGTTCATTTAAATCTCTTCCAATAAAAATTCTTTCTTCAAGAGGTATCATGTGTATTAAGTCTTCTAAGTCATTCCAAAATTTATCTTTACAACCTAAATCTAAACCTACTTGAAGAGCATAAGTACTTATAATATTAAAAATCTTAGTATCAACAATAATCTTAAGAGCTATAATGCTATAACTCTACTAATTTTTACAACATTATCTCTCAAACTCTTGTCTATAACTACGCCCACATCATTTCTAGTGCGATTCTACCTGAACAAAGTTTAAAACCTTAATTATCAATCTCCTTAGCCTTGTCACCAAATCATTTAGTTGCTTAAACACATAATTATGAATCATAATATCAACTGATTCGCTATAACTCTACTAATTTTTACAACATTATCTCTCAAACTCTTGTCTATAACTACGCCCACATCATTTCTAGTGCGATTCTACCTGAACAAAGTTTAAAACCTTAATTATCAATCTCCTTAGCCTTGTCACCAAATCATTTAGTTGCTTAAACACATAATTATGAATCATAATATCAACTGATTCATTAATTTACCAGTGAGAATACCTACATTCCAAGATCCTATCCAAATATTAATTTCATGAACTAACTTTTTACCCGCATCCGTTTGTAATGTGCGAACCCTTGCTTATTTGACACTACATTTGGGCGCCGTTGTAGAGGCCCTGGCACACTTTTCACTGTATTTAAACCATACAGCGCATAGCTTCCAGCAAACGCCCTAGCACTTCCTCTAATCACATCATAAACATAAAACAAAATTATTGATTAGATTGCCAACATCAATATGCTAAACCTTTAGAAAAAGAAATTATTAACATTTTTGTTATTTTCCAATCAGCTCATGGAAATACATGAAATATAAGCTTAAGAAAGATTATTTTACATTGTATTACAAGAGTGATTTGCTTGATCAAATTAGAACCACAAATAAGATATTTTCTTTTGGGAGCATTTATATGCATACCAAATAATTCTTATATTATTACATATATAACACCTAAATTTTCATATTTACATGTATGGCGGTCAAATCGTTAACATCACATCAAAATAATCACCATTACACACTTTTTAAAAGTGAAATAAACCTTTTCATGCATAAGTTTATTACACCAAATTGTTATAAATGTAAACATCAAACATTAGTTGTTATAAATGTAAATACATAAGAATTGTATAGCATGTAGGTAAATACATCTTTCTTTTGTCAAGATTGGGAGAATACTTGAAACCCTATTTTTAGGTTCAATGTAAAACTACAGAATGCCGTTAGTACAAAAAATCCTGCATCCATGTTTATTAATCCCTTGCTACCCACTTAAGCGCTAAAATAAACTAAGATTGAAAATGTTAAAGACTGTGGCTTCACTTCATGAAGAAAACACCTACATATAAAAGATTTCATGCCTAGAGTTTGGGCACTTAACCTTAACTAGAGTCTCAACCACTAATTTAGCCTAAGCCATTACCTAAACCACTACATAATAAATGAACCACCACCAGAGCCTGGACTTAACATTGTTAACATTAAAAGAACATGAAGTTAAGCTTGACACCTAAGCCATTGACATATGTTAATGCACTAAATGACTTTTAAACTTTACAGACAATATCCATGTTGAGTTCCATCAATATTCCCTTCATATAATTCTAAACTCCTTTTATCATGTGTGCATGAAGCATTTGCATAAGGCTTTGTTGTCAACAAAATAATCTTTTTTTTTAATAATAATATGCGTACTGCTACAGCTTTGTATCTATCAATACATATGATCATTGATACAATCTTCACAATTATGTTTATGTTACTTGGTTGTAACATTCTCAATCCTATAGTTTTCTCTTAGAGTAGTCTTGTGGGCTAAGTTAATTTGTAATAGAATCATTGAATAAAATCGTGCCCTCAATGATGTTTAGTGTGCATGTTTTGTTGCAATGCTTCCATCAGATCTGCCACTATTCGACTAAGCACCTATTGACATACAAATGCATGATGAATGGCATCAACCCCGTCCAAGTTCTCCAAATGTACATATGCCTCCAAATAATAGCTTCTTTTTCTACCCACCATCCTTCAAAGAACACCATGCACTTTCAATCATGTGCACCTGCTTAATTCTTCTAGGAATAATTATTTGCGTCTAGACAGACTAATGCAAAATTACCGACAATAATAGCATGATCATTATCAATTATTTCAGCATGAATATTTATCACATGTACTAGAACACGAGTGTCTCTTATTTATTCATGGTGATGTAATCATTATGAATGTTGCTATTTGTTTTGGATAAATTAGCTAAAATGTTTACAACCCTATTTGATATAAAATGTTGTGCAAAGTATACCAGCTAAAACTTTGAGCATTGATTAACAAAGAATAACGACAAAACCCCAGCAGTTCTCTCACCATCACAACTAATTTCCATCATCTCTAAGTTCACAAAAAGCAAAGCAAAATTAAGGGCTATGCCACTACCAAATATCCATCACGTTCATCAAGTTAATAGTTCAAAAGAATAATATGAATAACTGAAAGAAGACAATGAAACAGGAGCAATTAGCAGAAAAAGGACGTGATGAAAAAAGGGTAACATTAAAAGAACATTTTCACATTGTTACATAAGAGATTGTCAGCCCCAAATAATTGGGATTAGACTAATGATGATAATGATAAATCAAAGTCCTGCATTGGCAGGAATTAGTTGAATTTGTTAGAGCAGCCTCATAAAAAAAATATTCAAGAATTTGATAAGTGGAAATAAGCATACTTTGAAACCTCCAGCAGTGCCAGCATTGATCACAAGTTCTGGTTTCAATGCTTGTATAGAAGCATATGTTACCAAAGATGCTGAAACTGTGCCTACGCTATCTACTCCTGAAATAAAATATAAAGAAAAAGGTGATATAAAAACAAAGTAGCAGAAAAAGGGAGTTACAATAAAGAATCAATAAAGAACACTTCAGGAGAAATTCATGTTCAATATGATTATAAGATCCGTGAAAACAATCAACAGAAAAGAAAATTAAATAATGAGAAAACATCTTAAAAAGTTGGCAGTTACCACAACACCTTTAACATTCAATTTCTCAATCGATACACTTGGCCATATAACCTCAAAGCATGGCTCCTCCATGCAAAAAGTTCCTCATTATTAATATGATTGAATCGCATCCACACACTTACATTTATATCTTTAAACATAAGTTAATTTCAGTTTGCTAAAACTTTGAATTACCAGTCAAGAGCAATGGCATAAAATTATAACTCCTGCATTAGAAATGGTATATTATGCAGGTTACCAGAAGAACAGCTCACTACAAATCTATTCTGAGCAGGTATAATTAGACTTCTATGCAGTATCATGTTCCGGCAGATATGTTTGTAGCATACAGATAAGTTCATTTTGATGGTTCCTACTTAATTAATGTCGTAGGTATGCAAAATAAGCTTTTCCACTAACATTCACGGCTAGTTTCCAAATAATTGATATATTACCATCTATATCGTTAAGATTAGTAAATTTGAAAGTTACCTCGAGGTGTTCCAGTGATTACAAAGAATATTAAACTACAAGCTTAAACAATAAAGTTTGAATTTTTATGTGCTCATATATAGTAATTTTTAGAATTAAAGCATTTAAGTTCAAATGACAGGATTTAATAGTCTTTATTTATCACTGATACTCCAGGGAAGCACTTCTAATAGTACCTGTTTAAAACCAAACTATTTGATAAATATGAATGTTGAAGAAAACTAACTAGAAATCAATAGAACAAGCATAAATTGACAAAGAATAGAGAACATAGCTACTTCCCTATCGGTGAAATAAAGGAATTCTTTCTTACGCTTTTTAGTTACAAAAATAAAAACATTCAAGATTATTTCAACATACTAAACAACTGAAGGAAAATTAGAAGCAAATCACCTACGAAGCATAGACCTTTATAGGGCCATCTTATCTTGTCACGCTTGCCATCTTGCATGTCTTATTGTTTAATTTCTTTAAAAATTCTTACATTTCTTGGACCAATTCGGAACTTCTTTGCACATCATGAATGTGTCAACCTATGAAGCACAGACACATACGGTGACAGAACATGAATAGATATATATGGGACACAATTGAATAAAAAATGGACATGACAAGTCATGGACACATTTTGATATTTAATTAATTATTAATATAATAATTATTTTTCAATTAGTATTTACTAAAAACATCACAAAACAAAGCATGCGAGAAAAAAATTTATCTTGTGTTATGAAATATCATGCTTATAAAAATTAATTTTCAAATTAGACATGTAATATATTTTAAAAAATTCCTCCAACTTAACTACTAAAATTTTAAATATCTCATGATTGCATCTTGTTTAATAAAGTTAAAATTTAACTTTTATAATTAGAATAAGTATAGATTTATAATTATTAACTCATTAATGTGTTAAAAAATATAAATTATCACTTACAAAACTGAGGCGGCTTTGGCTCCACTTTGCTTCAATGAATTGAAACTTTAGTGCAAGCGTCGCAAAATTTGCATGGTATTTAGATCGACTTTAATTAATAGACTTGCTCTCGCTCAGCTTACGACAAAGAAGCTTGCGACTTCCGTTTTAGCGGATGCAGATTCGACTTCGATGAACAAAAGAGAACTACATTCTTTCGTTTAAAGTAATACATGCATATTTCACGAACAAAAGAGAACTACAATGCTCGACTTTGAGAAATAGGGAATGGACCTTGACGCTCGACTTGAACAAATAAAGAGAGAACTTTTGATGCTCAGTTTCAACAATAATTAGATGCACTTTTGATGCTCAATTTTGAGCAATGTAGAGAGAGCATTGACAAAATGAGAGAGGAGGCGGCTTCAACTATGAGGTATAATTAGGCCTACACGTATATTTATAATTTTCTATATCCCCTATCATGCTTTTCTCCAAATTTTGTTGAGCTCATGGTTGATGCGGTGTCAAGGAATGACCGGACATGTTCAGGTCTGAAAAAAAATTACACATATTTTGTAGTGTTGGACAAATGTTGGGGCCCAGCTTATTCCTACCGCTATAACGCATTTGGAAAATTTTGTTAATAGACGGGAAAGCGGGGAAGAAGCCGCACCTGCGTTAGCTTCGCGCGTTAGAGTGAAGAAATTCCTCCGTGCCCCCTCTGCTCCCCCTCGCCCTTGCCCTAATTCTCCATGGCGAATCCTCTTTCCACGAAGCTTCTCTCTCCGTCGTTTCTCTCCATGGTGAAGCTTCTCTCTAACTCCCTCCCCCTCGCCCTCGCCCTCGTCCTAATTCTCCGTGCCCCTCTCTGCTCCCCCTCTTTCCATGGCGAATCCTCATCTACAACCCCGTCACTCTTCTCCGAGCTTTAATCCCCGCAAATTGATGTGTGGCTCCGGCTCAGTCTCTATAAGCATGGTGGAGATGGGTAACCCAGTACCTGCTTTCGGGGATGCTGCTCTAGCGAGAGCATCTGCCTCCACTTTCCTCCCTCGGAGTACTCTCTTCTTTCCACCATGGTTTGGTTAAGCTGGCTCAAGGTCTAAATTTCTTTTATTTGTCTCTCGATTTGGTTCTGTTGTTTCTGTTGGGAAATATAACTGGATTTTCTCCAAAGTTTAGAAAAGCAAGTTATAGAACATGAAAGAGATGAGAACAAACTTATTTTTTCTTTTAGAAAATAGCATATCTACTTGAATTAATTGTTGGAACTTTAAATAAATTTACAATGAAAATTAACTCATATTTGTAAGAATCGGATTGCAATGACATATTGCTGAAGTTGCCTCATCTTTTTAGGAAATACATTACATATTTTCTTCGTGAGATAAAAAGCTCATCAACTCTTTATTTCACTACAAGTCCAAGGAAATAGTGAGCAGTGTATTTTAATTTTTGTAACTGATTTGAAATAGTTTGAGACTTTTGTTCTATCTTTTATTTTCCCCATACAGTTCTGTAGCAAACAGCTTAACCAAATAAGGGCAGAATGGTCATTTATACAACAACAACTGCCAGTAAGTTGTTCTGAATAAGCTGCCAAAAATAGCAAGTCAGTTTATTCTGACAGATTATCAGAATAATCTGCTTATAATCAACAGCTGCCCCAAACAGACCCTAAAAGATTCTCATAAATATGCATTACCCATTCATCCATTTCATTATTATTATGATCACCATCACTAACAATGCAATTAGTATTAACATGCTATTGTTTTAACAAATTACTAATATCAGAATTCTTTTATTGTGGTCAATGATAAACACATTTACAATGCTGTATGATGACTGTTTCAGAATTCGGCCAATTAAGAAATTAAACCGAACTGGGTAGAGGGAGAATTCCAAACCTTATGCTTAAGATGCGTTCGATAAACAGTTGGAGAATAGAAGAACACAGTTAGGACCGAACGTCGCAAAAATATATATTGTCCAGAAAAGACTGGCAAGCAACTGATGAGTTTATTATAACAAAAGGGTATATTAGACTAAAATATTAATTAACAGATTGGTAGTAAAGCAATGTTGGAGCTATGCAAATGACGGCATGCATAAACCCTGATTATAAAAATAATTCTCCATTCCTATAATTTTGACGCATTAACTCCTCAGTTTCCAGCATGCCCCATCCACTAGATATTTGACATAAGTTTCAGCTTCCAAATATTTCTTCCACTCCTTTTTCCAATGAACAGAATTATACATTTGAAAAATAAGAAAAAGTATTAACATTCACAAGGTTTCTAATTATATATCCAACTTTGAAGGATCTGCCGCCATTTACATCAAGATCTATATACAAAGAAAAAAAAATCATATATTTTCACGCATTAACAAAAATCAAAGTACCTTCATTTGTATGTCATTGAGCTACAAAGGAATGTTCATTCTCCCTTCGCTAAGCGTACCACCCCCTCAAATCAATGCAATTCAGGGTTTACAATGTTCAAAGAAATTTTGAGAGAAAAAAAAACTTTATATTCCAAAAAGAAATAAGTTAACCTTCCAGCAAACCTCAAATGCTAATTAGTTGCACAAGGTTTGCAATAGAAGGTGAATACCAGGCTTCAAGGATAATTTGGAGACAAAAACTATAATTAATTTGTTTTCTAGCATATAAAACATTACAAGGAGCATTGGTGGAAGTAGCAATGAAAAATATGCCAAGATCTAAGGATGTGATATAGTAAAATAAAAGATTAATTCCGGATCCATAGTAGTTTCACAATACTTTTCTTTGGTGGACAACGATTGTTGAGCTTATTAAAAGAAATAAAACATTTCACAGTTCATTATAAATTCATAAGAACCAGTAAGGTTCAATCATACTGACCATATCAGTTCAAAATAAATCTCGCAGCACCTTAGCACACAGCTAGAATAGCCAACCCTGAGAGGTTTGATCATTTGGACTAGTTGACTTCATATTAAATGTTACCGACCAATAAGGTCAGAGCCACCATGAGGACTGGCTGGGTCAGAACGACCCAACCCCATTATTCCATTAGTTGGCTTGGCCTAACTTTTTTACTTGAGACTTCAAACTTACCGATTTGATAGCATTTTTAAAACGAATTTAAGAGGATATCACTATTGGGCACAGCGAAATGACAAAAAAATAAATTGTGATGCTAGACATCTTATGGTCGAGAGCATTCTAATGCAACTTTAAAAGATAAACAACATCATGCACCCAAGGTCAAATTCACATGCCACATTTTTAAATTATATGATAAATTGGCTTTTTAAGAGACTTATAAAAAACACCAGATTCTTCTCAAAGGATAAATTAATGGTCACCCAATTAAATATCTAGAAAAATTATAAAAGAAGCAAACATAGATCAAGATTCACACTATAATC